ATAAAAAACTATCTAGCATGAAGAAGTTATGATTACTTCCAAAATATGAGGGTAACAAACCTGAGAAGTGTGAAGTTTGCGCGAAAGCAAAACTGACGAGAAAGTCATTTTCAAGTATCACGAGGAGCACCAACCTGTTGGATCTGATTCATTCAGATATTTGTGACTTCAAGAGCTTCGTCACTCGTGACGGTAAGAAGTACTTCATCACATTCATTGATGACCATTCTCGCTTCTGTCACGTTTACCTGTTAAAATCTAAAGATGAAGCCTTCAGCAAGTTTGACGAATTTCGGACTCGAGTAGAGAAGTAGCTTTGACTACAGGTGAAAAAACTCAGGAGCGACAGAGGAGAATACCGATCTAAGGAGTCGGAAGCATACTTCAAGGAGCATGGAATCATTGCTGAAACTACTGCTCCGTATTCTCTGCAATCTAATAGGATTGCAGAAAAAAAGAATCGCACATTGACCGAGATGGTGAATTCGATGCTAATCACATCTAGTCTTCCTACCTGCTATTAGGGAGAGGCTTTGCTGATGACAAACTGGATTCCAAATAGAGTACCCTACTCCAAAACTGATAGTACTCCTTATCAGTTATGGTTAGAATATCCAGACCCTTTGGATAATTTCAAAGTGTGGGAATGTCTCGCATATGTTCAAATTCCAGATATCAGAAGGCCTAAGCTCGGACCAAAGACTAACAAATGTGTGTTTCTTGGCTTCGCTAAAGATAACAATGCTTGCAGGTTCCTGGACTTTGGAACCAACTCTATCATTCAAGCTCGAGATGCAGAATTCTTTGAGGATAAGTTTACAAAGATAAAGGCTTATTGCTCAAAGATATAACAGAGAATACTAGTACGTCAGATGCACCAGAGGAGCCAGTTTCGTAAGAAACTAAAAATATCAATAATGAAGGAGTTATCAAACCATCTTCCAGATGTATCAAGAGACAGAAAGATTTTGAAGATGACTTCATCACCTATAATATGGAATGAGACTCGCAGACTTTTCAAGAAGCAATACAGTCAACAGACGTTCTTCTGTGAAAAAAAGCTATAGATGATGAGATGGATTCATTGATCCAAAATCATACTTAGGAACTGGTGGAAGTATATGAAAGTACAAGGCCTATTAGTTGCAAGTGGATCTTCAAGAAGAAGCTCCGTCCCGATGGTACTATTAAAAAATACAAAGCAAGACTGGTGGCGAAAGGATTCTCTCAGAAAGAAGGTTTAGATTTCTTTGATATCTATGCACCAGTTTGCAGGATTACTACCATCAAAGTGCTTATCGTATGGACGACGATTAAAAAGTTTATCATACATCAGATGGATGTGAAGACTGTCTTTCTCAATGGAGATCTCACAAAAGAGATCTACATGAAGAAACCAGAAGGACTTAATGCTCCAGCTGGTAAGGTTTGTAAACTTATTAAGTCTTTATATGGACTTAAGCAGACACCAAAACTCTGGCATGAGAAGTTCGATGAGGTTATTCGTAACAATAGGTATCAAGTCAGTGAATCTGACAAGTGTCTATACATCAAGGTCGTTGAAGAAAATGTGGTGATCATCTGCCTCTATGTGGATGATATGCTCATCATCGGGAGTGATTTGAAGATAGTAACATCTACCAAGAAATTTCTCTCGACACAGTTCAGCATGAAGGATCTTGGAACTACGGACGCGATTCTCGGAATCAAAATTATATACTCTAAAGAGGGTATTGGATTGTCTCAATCTCATTATGTCGAGAACATGCTAAGAAAGTATGGCTACAACGACTTATCAGAACTATCAGTATCATACGATTACAACAAGTTTCGACCAAACACTGGAAGACCAGTAGAGCACCTGATGTACTCAAAGATCATTAGGATCTCATGTACACGATGAACTGCACAAGGCCAGACATTGCATTCGCTGTAGGAATGCTTAGTAGGTTCACAAGTAATCCTGAAAAGCTTTATTGGAATGTTGTCCAGAGATTGATGAGATACTTAAAAGGAACTACAGGTCTGGGCCTATTCTACACTGGATATCCTGCTATAATCGAAGGCTATTCAGATGCGAGCTGGTGCTCAGAACCAGATGAGTGCAGATCTACTGGAGGATTTGTCTTCACCATGGGTGGAGCTGTCGTCTCGGGAAGTCTAAGAAGCAGACCATGATTGCACAGTCATCGATGGAATCTGAGTTCTTCGCACTCTGTGCTGCAGGAGATGAAGCTGAATGGCTCAATTGTTTTCTCCGAGACCTTCCATTGACAGAATTATAAGGCGCGATTACTATCTATTGTGATAATCAAACGACGAGTGCTGTGACAGCGAACTCGTTGTTCAATGGAAAGAAGCAGACCATTCGTCTGAAGCATGGCTATTTAAGAGAGCTCATTTGTCAAGACGTCATCTCTGTGATTGACATACGATCTTCAGAGAATGTGGTTGATCCTTTAACTAAGGATCAAAAAAAGGACATAGTCAAAAGGACGTCTGCTGGAATGGGTCTTAAACTTTTGTAAGTCTTACAAATACTTATCATGTTTATTACATCAAGTTATTAGTTCAAAGCTTATACTACTAATGGCAAGATAAATGGTTCAAAAATCAAGTAAGATTCACAAATGGAGGGTTCAAGTTTTCTTGGATTAGTCGGTGTCTAAGGCAATGTTTGGGGGTTGCGTAATGCGCTCCGTAAGGAACGAGATACTTAATTGATCTTTGATCAACCTCTAATACTATCCTTATCTAGCTGAACTATCAAAATAAAACTTTGATCTTTTCACCTAGAATCCTATTATGTAAAGAGGATGGTTGTTAAGCCTTAATGAGTCCAAAGCATTTCGGATACGGGGTGTTAGATAAGAAACACACCTAAATGACTCACCTAGAATCATATAATGAGAGATGATGGCTATTAAGCCTTAATGAGTTCAAAGCATTTCGGATACGGGATGTTTGATAGGAAACATGCCTAAAGAACTCACCTATGTATGGATGGAGATTTGGCCGTCTCTTATGGTGTCTTGTGAAAAAATACCTAGAACCCTAGCAGAAACCAGGACATGCACAGGGTCATAAATGTGCAAAGACAAAGGCAAAGGCAAGGTAATGACAAAGGCAAGTGTGATTCAAAGTGAAAACTACCACAGATAAGTTTGATTTTGTGTGATCGTTGGATTTTTAGATATGTGTCGGTTCAAGTCTCTACGACACCATGCACCTATCTTTTATTCAGTTGGTCTAGGGAGGATTCAAGTCCTTGCGACATCTATTTTATGCATAACGATTGAAACAACGGTATCGTTACACAACACTAGTTTAAAAACTTATGGGGGATTGTTTGATAGTTTTTAATTTTGATTGGGCCCCATAATGTTAGCCGCCCATGATGTTAGCCTAACTTTGAAAGCTTGATAGTTTTTAATTTTGATTGGGCCCCATAATGTTAGCCGCCCATGATGTTAGCCTAACTTTGAAAGCTTAAAATAAATAAATAAGCGTGCTCACCCATAATGTTAGCCGCCCATGATGTTAGCCTAACTTTGAAAGCTTAAAATAAATAAATAAGCGTGCTCAGAGCCGCAAAGAAGGAAAATAAAAAAGTAAGGTGGGTCCCACACAATTTAAGAAAAACGTGGGCTGCTAAACGTTGAAAAATTAGGACGTGAGCCCCACATGTATAGTAAAATAATATTATTTTATTAGTACATAGTATTTTCCCAAACACTATAAATAGACCACAAATCCTTAAGGAAAATTCATTCCAAAACAACAATCAATATATACAGATATATATATTGTAGAATAGTCAGTGCTCGTAGGAACAGTACCTAGACCGAGAAGGTCTTATAGATCGAGAAGATCTTTGCCTGATAGATCGAGGAGATCTTTGTCTGATAGATCGAGGAGATATTTACCTCATAAATCGAGGATATCTTAACAGTACCGGGTCGGTACACACCAGAGTACTGAACTGCTGTTCCTGAAAGCAATTTGGTCTTAGGATCATTGCACCGGAGTAGGCCAAATAATGATTTAAGCATAACGTTTTACAAACGCACAGCAGCTGAGTTGAAAAAATTTTAAATTACTGTACTTTAATTTTCTGTTCAGTTTTTGTTGTTATATATCTGTATTATTCCAGATTTAACCACAGGCGCCAACAAGTTTATGATCCTCCAATATGGAGGTTCTTCCACTAAACAAATGAATAGTAGGATTATAAGAATTTATATTTTATAAAACTGTCTCACTTCGGTGGCTCGCTCGAGCTTGAGGATTAGGACTCTCAAGCTATCTCACTTCTCTCTCAAAGAGACTCTCTAACTCTCTATATTAGAGGATGGATAGGAATGAAGGCTTTCACCCCTATTTATACTACTCCACATTCATATTGAGGGGTGGAGATTAATTTGATCCAATGGTGGATATTAGCTCTTAGAATTCTCCACACATATCTTTACTTTCTAGAAATTTCTAAAGAATCTCTACACTCCTCCATTTTATTCCATACTCTTTCAGAATGTTCCAGAAAGCTCCACACATTTCTAGAATATTTTAGAGGATTCCACACGCTTCTAGAGAATTCTACACTTCTTTAGAGTTCTCCCGAAAAGTTCTAGAATTTTCTAGAATCTTCCCAATTAAGGAGGGATCCCAGCATGTTGTTTATCATTCATTTATACAGCTAGTCTCGCATCTTTCTTAATTGTTCAGGGCTATCTCTTTACCAAATATTGTATCCAACTTAAGTTTATTCAACCAAATTCTCTTAAGACCAACGGTGCTCTTTTCTAATTAAGACTAGAGTTTGATCACCGTAGCTAAATCATCTCAATCTAATTTTCTCTCATCTGACCCTCGTTATCAATAAGAGTAATCTCCTCCTTCCTACAATAACACTATCGTCAATGACCAACCAAATGCAAAATCTAAATCAAATGAATCCAACCTAAATCGAAACGGGAATTCGAGCAATCGCATCCGCTCACCTCCCGATCGATTCTTTTCGCCTCCCC